CACTTAATATAATTTTTTCCAAGTCTTTCCATTTCCTAACAAATATATATATGTTATCATAAAGATACTGTATAGAGAGGGGTTACAGTTACATGAGCAAGGTAATGAGTCCACTTCCTATCAAGCATTGTTACCCCCTCCTTCCTTTCATTCATAGTGCTCGGTATGTATTTTGAAGCACCAGACTTTGGGGTATTGCTTTTCCAACGAAATGTAAGGAATACCCATCTATTCCTAGGAAAGCAATAATATGTGAAATCCTTAGCACTGTGAGTAACGAAAACTATTATTTCAGCCAGGTGCCTTGATGACCAAATAGGTACCATATCATGTCAACGGACTATGCCATAATCTATCAAAGCACAACCTCATTTGAGCTCCTAGTGACACCTGAAATTATTGCCTTAGTCTTTGATCGTTGAAATATGATTGTGGAGACCATTTTGAGGTTAGAATTCCAAGGCTTCCTGGTATCTCTCCTTTAGGTAGCATAACATAAACAATGGAAACATATTCCTCTTAGAAAGAAGAGTACACCAGAGTCAGAAAACCTGCATGACAATCTTAAAGCTGATCTGCATCCTAATCCTGCAGAAGTCATTTTTTCCTACGCCTTTATAATGTATGCCCCTTTCAATGAGCAGTAAAACAAAACTTACCATAGCACAAAAATTTATTAAGAAGGGCAATGTCAATTTTGGAACTCCCAATGATTTCCTTAAAGAAATTAAAATGAATGACATTTCAATTTTCCCAGCTTTGTTGCTCCTGATAAAGATCTTTGCCTCTTACCAGGGACAATTACAAACCCAGCATCTCTTGCACCTCTTCCCTTCTTTCTGCTATATAAAGAAAATAATTCACTAAAGATAATCAAGTGAGACCACCAGGAGAGGATGATGGTGTGGGGTGAATATGGTTTAAGTAGATTATAATGAGACCCATTAAATGTTTAAAAGTAGGAGAAAGGAGGGAAGGCAAAGAGAAGGAGCACATGAGCAGAAGGAAGAAAGTGAGAAAGTGTAGTTATTATATTCAATGTACATTAAGTGACTATATTAACTAACGAGGGTAGGTGCGAGATGGAGAAAGATGAGGGAAGGAAGGATGAGGGAATAAAGGAGGATGGGAAGGAAGGGAGGCTGGTTTATAGGAAAGGATTGCTTTTATGGCACAGGGTCAATTACATTCTTATGGATTTACAAAATTTCTACGTGAGAATTGTGGCAAATCTATACATTATGTGTGCTTCTATGTGCTTAAATGTATGCGGGGTTCATGACTGCACTTAATTTTAGTAAAGGGAATTGGATAAACATAGTGGAACACTAAGTGAAATCTAAAGCCTTATTTGCTGAGTGAGGTCGGTATAAGGTTTATGTCCATTATTGTAGCTTCTTGGGAGATTGAGATTCAGTGGAGCACAGTTTGAAGCCAGTTTCACAAGACTTACATGAATAAGGACATTTTAAATACCGGTAGATGGTTGCAGTGGTACATGTCTATCATCTCAGCTGCACTGGATTCTGAGGTCAGAGGTGCTAACATTTCATCCAATCCAGGCATAATTGAAACACTGCTTCAGCTGGGCATGTTGGGGCATGCCTGTCATACCAGCTAGTGGGTGAAATATATAATAGGAGGATCATGATCCAAGCAAAAAGTGAGACCCTATCTCAAAATACGAAGTATAGAATAAGGGCTTGAGTTGTGGCTCAGTGGTAGAGGCCTTTGCCTAAGTAAGCATGAGGCCCAATTCCAAACCCCAGTACTGCCAAAAATATTTTTTAAAAAATCTTATAATGCAGGAAGATGGTATATGCCAGACTTTATGCTGTGCTTTGAAACAGATCAATGTACCAGAATTATCTTACATAATACTGCTAAACAGTTCTATAAAAGTCAAGGTTAGTCTTATCCCGTAAGAACAGCAATGTAAAGGTTGAAATTTTGCATCGAAGTGTTGGTTTATTGTATTTCAACCTTTTTCTCTCAGCAAATCAGTGACTTTGAGAGAAATTGAGAGTTTTCTTGCAGGGTGCAATGCCTTTTGGCCAAATTTCTGTTTGTAATTCCAACTAATTTTTGGACACCCACAGGGGAGGAGAAAAGCTTCCCAGCAGCAATACCAGCAGCAAAATCTGGAATAAAGTGACAGAGGATTGAAGCAGGAAATAATATGTGCAGAAAGAAAAAAAAAATACACTTTGTCCCCAGTTACTTCCATTTGCAAAATCTTCCTTTGAAGACTTCAGTCTTGGTGAAGCAGTATTTTAAAGTCAGGTTTAAAAGTGAAAACAAGACTGAGGTGAAGGAATTGATAAAAGCCTAGTTTTTATTTATTCAGAAGATCCCCTAGTACTTTAAAGCAATCTGTGTTTAACATCGCAAATTGTCTGTCATTAAAATGCTAATGAATGGTAAACAGCTGCTAAGTTTTTTATGCTAATTCCTGAAGGCAGCTAAGTAGTTCTGTAGCCTCTGTCTTTATTAGCATAGAGATTTGATTGTGTAAGGGGGATCATTGTGCATTCTGACCTTTGTTGATGGAGCAATCTGTTTGTCAAGTTCCCTGTTGCATTTGCTTTGATTTGAGGTTGTTAGTACAAAATGAATCTCACCAGGCCCTCAGGGGCCATGTATTACATAGTATTATCAGAACCACCATTGTGGGCTTAGAGAAGGAACTTTGCTTCCCTCTGGGAGAACTACAATGGATAACCAATTATAAATTTGTTCATCTGCCAGCTTAAATAGATTGATTCTGTATACTTGCTTTTTGCTTTTTGATCCTTATAATAATGATAAATTGCAAAAAAATCTGTTAATCTACTATAAGAAGAATCTCTAATTTTTAATTTAGCTAAGATTTTAAAGCAAAGCTTTTAAGGTATTTTAATACATGGTAGTGCATCCTTCAATGTATTGATATAAGATATCCTCTTGGATCTGCCAGCATAGAGTTTGGAAATGAGTGTAACATTTCCTAATTAGAAGAGTAGTGTGAAATTAAGAGCAGGGTAGTTATGTACATAAGAGCCTGAGAGAATATTTACTTGGTATCAGAAAACAACATTTTGTTTCCATCTCTAGTTTTGGATGACTCTCTCTTTGGATGATTTCTCTTACTCTATATTTCTTAAATGATGGATTTAACCTAAAGAACTGCTATTACAATAAGTGCTTCAAGCACCCTTTTTGCTTCCTATTTTTTAGAATTAATGTAAATGAGATATGACAGTTCATTAAACACTATTGCCAATGATGTCCTAGGATGATTTACAGGGTTTATTAAGGAAATTCATTGCCAAAGCAAGTATTATCAAAATAGAAATGCTTCTGGGACTAAGTACAGGTTGGTGGGAATTTTAATAGTTGAAGCATTTTCTCATTTCTCCTTGAAAACAGTAAGGGATTATAGGCATATAATTATTGTGTGATCTCATATAGACAGGACAGGAGAAACTGGAATCCTCATATACTTTCAGTGGGAAGGGGTACAGCCCTTGTAAGAAAACAGTCTGGCAGTTCCTCAGAACATGGATCATATGGTAATCATATGACCTAACAATTGCTATAATTCCACTCCTAAGTATATATTTGAGAGAACTGAAAACATGTCCACACTAAAACTTGTAATGGAATGTTCATAGCAACATTATTCCTTATAGCCAAAAGTATGACAAGAATCCAAATGCCCATGGACTGATGAATGAGTATGCAAAATGTAGACCATTCATTCATACCACAGAATATTATTCAGTCTTGAAAATGCATAGAATTCTGATGCATGCTACCACACAACTTTGAAAATATGAAACCAAAAAGGGCAGTCACAATAGACCCCATGTAGTATTAGTTCATTTGAATGAAATGGCCAGGATAGATAAATTGATTGAGACAAACAATACGTTAGTGTTTGGCAAGAACAGGATGTTGGAAGGAAATGAGTTTTAACTGAAAATAAGTACAAGGCATCATTTAAAAGTCATTAATATGTTCTAAAATTGATCTTGGTGTTGATTGTACGACTCAGAAAATACATTAAAAACTGTTTATTTAACACAATTTATGTGGATGAGTTGTCGGATATGTAAATTAGGTCTCTACAAAGCTGTCATGTGTTTAAAGAGAAAAAAAAAGCACCAGAGACTGTCTTTCAGGACCATCTGAAAGCCATCTGCAGGTGTATCTGCACCACCTGGAAGCTATAGACTAGAGAACCATGGGTTTTACTGCTGGACAACATTTTTGCATAACCTATTCTTGTGTTCAACCAGTTATCTGAAGGTGTCCTATTTAATGGGATTGTTGCTAAATGATTACAAATTCATTAGAAATAAAAGACTATGACTTTTCATTCCAACTAGTTCCTACCCTCTAATACGTTCTCTGTAGCCAGCCCACAATCATCCCCTTTAGATCCTCTGTTCAATGTCTAGACTGCCTATTTCCCTCAAAGTAAGGGCAACATTCAGTTTATTTAAGAAAAAGAAAAGTGAGTCATAACTTTTCTCTCTTTGGAGCCACAGTAACTATAAATATCCAAGTTTTCTTTCTTTTGTAAATACCCTGTAATTATCTCTGATTTGCATTAAACATGCCTAGTAGCCAATCACTGAAGAGTAAGAAGAGTAAAAAGCATCTGGCGTCTTCATTTTTGACTAGTCAGAAACCAAGACTTAGGTACCAGGACATTCACAATATCCCCATCCTGCCAGTAGAATCTGGGTTTTGCTTGAGGCTGAACAGCCCTTTGGCTCTCATCCAGAAAAAGGATCTACCCCACTGTCTTCATGAGGAGGATTCTTCCTAACCATATTTACTATTCACAATCCTTTGAACAGCAGTTAGGACTCTTTTGCCTTTGCCATTTGCTAACATTCAGTGTAACCCTTGCTTAGAAGTTGTAGCTCAATGGTCTTGTTTTCTCACTGTAGATTTGGAAAGGAGAAGGATGTGAGCAAGAGATTAAAGTCATTTTTGTTTTGTTCGCGCAGGCAGCACATGCCATACTTCTGCCCTTCCTGCTCTCGTGCGCACACCTACCCTGATGATGCAGCCTTCGCTGGATATCAAACCATTCATGTCTTTCCCAGTGGACAGTAGTTCTGCTGTTGGGCTCTTCCCAAATTTTAACACAGTGAGTAAATATCTTTGCATTTTCTTTATACCTCCTCACTTTTTTTCACTGCATTTGCAAATAAGCAATAGATGTAATTTAAGATCACATATTGGTTATATTGCTCACCTGTACTGTGGAATATGGTATTTCACCTGTTGCATTGTGCAGTTTTCATGGACTTTGCCATGGCTTTGGAACCTCTATTATTTCTGAGATGCTGTTCATACATGCTTGAGAACACAATTTAGAGATATCAAGCCACATTGACTTTTTCCCTCAGGATTAGAAAGAGAAAAAAAAAGGACTATAGGCTTTATCTCCCTAGGTGCTTTAATTTGGGAGATATTTTAGATAAGGTATGACATTTACACGAGCAGAATTTTTATTTGGAGTGCTTGTGGATTTCATGACTGTAAGTCTTAGCAAATAGAAAAATGCTCATCTTAAATCAGTATGTTAGTTATCTGCATGACACTGACACATTCTCTTTCCAACTTATACTATAAAAATCAGTGAATTGTTCATAATGATCAATATTCTTCATTCAGGGCAACTGACCTTCTTCATTTGGATGCAATACATTTTGCAGACGTGTCAAGATTGACATGACATCTTTCAACAATAAAATTCAACATAAAATCAGTTCATACACAGGTTCTAAACTTAGAGATTGAATGAATTATGTCTGTTCCATTGATACATGCAGTCAGTGTGGAGCATGATGGTCCCTGTGAATTAGACAACATTGTAAGTACTGTCATAATCAAAAAGAAAAAATTGTATTATCAACCTCACCAGACAGTGTACATCTGAGGACTGCCAAATGTTTTCCTTTGCAAACGTGTCTTCTGGATGAAGTGAAAACAGCAAAAATGATTTTTTTTTTCCTCAAGGGTTGTAAATACAATCTGCTGACAGGCCTTCTGTCAGAGCTTAGTGTTGTAAGGTAATCAGGGGCTCGAGGATCGGCCAACTTTTTAAACAGCATTAGTTTTGACTTGATGAGTAAGCAGTTGAATGTTGTTTTGTTTGGGGTTTTTGGCACCAAGTCAGGTTTATGTTTGTATTTTTGTTGTGGCTTGATTTGTAAAAGACTTGGAAAGGTGAACATCATTTCTAGTCCAGAAGAGCAACTCAGTAAGATAAATCATGCCTACCTTGGTCACATGACACCATTAGATGTGGAAGACACGCTCCCAAAGCACCATCTGGGCCATTTTAGAGAGCTTGAACTCCAGTGTGTGTTCTAGCAAAGCATCATGATGCATTCCAAATGTAACTGAATTCTCTATACTTCCTAGCATGTTTACTGGGGACTTGTGTTTTGATGAAAACATATTTGGATAGCAGTGTGTGTGGACCCCACACCACTCCAGGTGTTGTCAGGAAGCAGTGTGGAGGCTGAGGAGTGCTCATGTGTGCTGCCCCTGCTCTTCACATCTGCTTTCTTCTTTGAAATGCAAGTAATGCATGAGTAATTATTTCAGAGATTCAAATAAAACATTAGCATTCATTCATTTACTTATTTATCTGTTTTGTGCTGGTCCTGGGGCTTGAACTCAGGGCCTGGATGCTGTCCCTGAGCTTTTGTGCTCAGCCTAGCACTCTACCACTTAAGCCACAGGTCTACTTCGGGCTTTTTGGTGGTTAATTGGAGAAAAGAGTCTCATGACAGATTTTCTGCTCCAGTGCCCAGCAATATATTCTTTGCTTGTGAATACACTCTCATTCCTTCAATAGAGAAAAATACTCATTGCAGCTGTCATCCATTCTGTCAGTTCCTAAATATACCATAGATATACCCACATAATAGTGCTACATATACTATGGCACTGTTTGCAGTTATCAAAATGTCTTACATATGCTTCTCTGTTTTAAAGAGCTTTAAAATAAATAGGAATCTGGGCACTGGTGACTCTCACCTTTAATCCCAGCTACTCAGGAAGCTAAGATCTGAGAATCAGAGCTCAAAGCCAGCCAGGACAGAAAACCATGGAACCTCTTATCTTCAATAATCTACTGAAAAAATGTCAGGAGTAAAGCTGTGGCTCAAGTGATAGAGCACTTGAGCAAAAGAAGCTCTGGGACAGTGTCCAGGACTGGCATAAAACAAAACAAAAACATAGGGAATACTTTCATAAAGGTTTTTTAAAGATAAAGTTTCAGGCTAGTTTATTAATCTTACAGAGGTACTAATATGTTTTCTGTTTGCTTGTTTATTGTGTTGATCTCATTATATACTGCATTTAATGAAACCAAAAAGGATAATTATTAATTAAAGTTCAAGTTTTTACTTAAAAGGAAATTGTTTTTTTGTTTTCAAATAATACTTTGTTATTTTTTAATACTTTGTTATTAATGAGAAAAACACTGCAAAATATTACATAAAATAATCATTCTATTCTCTTTATTATATCTAGGTAATTTATTAGTCAAAAGCCCTTCTGGTAATATATTAAAAAATTAAGTCAACACTAGTAGGACTGTTATTGTGTAAAGAAATTAATTTAGCCAAGTGTGGTAGTGCATGCCTGTAAACACAGCTAAGGCAGCAGGATCTTGAGTTTGAGCCCAACCTGGTCTACATAGTGAGTTCCAGGCCAGCCTTGGCTAAGTAGCAAGACTCTCTCTTAAAAAGGAACAATAAAAGGAAAAGAAACACATTTCTCTAGTGGGTTACTTATGATTTTTTTGACTTTGTGTTGTAATTTAAATTACTCCTTTTCCTTATAGACTTATTCATTCTAACATCAAATTCACTTAGTAGATTTCCTGGAGAAAGGATGAGTATATCCCTATTGTTAATCTCAATGGATTGTCATATTTTTGTGATGATTTATTTCCTTTAGAGTACTCAGGTCTCAAAGCACTTTGAGAGACTATGGTTATTACTGCTATTGTCTAAAGAAGAAAAATGAATTAGTAAAGGAAGAGCCTTGAACTATAGTCCTCTAACTTTGAAACTTACATTCTGGCTCCTCACATCCTTGGCTCTTTTAACCGGTAGCACCTTCCACCTCATTCATTGGGAACAAAGCTCAATCAAAAGTCTACTTCTTTTCTGTGAGCATGATAGTCAATTTTCTGAAAAATAATTAAGTAAAAACAAGAAAGGAGTTTTGGGCTGAAAATACAATTCTACAAACAGGATCTTTGAAACAGAATATAGGTAACAAACAGCCCTTAATTTCTTGTTGGACATTTTTTTAAGTCTATTAGGCAAATAGTTTACTTGTTCTTTCAAAAAAAAGTGAATTTGATTACGCCACTTTATTTTTAACCATGGTCGATTTTATTAAAAGTAAGTATTGAAGCCTAACTTAATTTAGTTTTTGTATGAAGAAGACAATGCAAAGCTTAGGTTTCAGAACACTGTCTGTGCTCTGAAATAGTTGCTATTTTCTTTAAATTGATCTACATTCATTTATGTGTATAAAAATATATATGTATATAGTGTACAGGCAATATGAGAGTGTGTTTCTCCCTTTTTAAAAAACAATTATTATTTTCTCTTTTTTGCTGATACTGAAGCTTAAACTCTGGACCTGGGCTCTGTTTGTTCAAGGCTAGCGCTCTACCATATGAATCAAAGCACCACTTCCAGCGATTTCTGTGTAGTTTATTGGAGATAAATAGATCACAGACTTTGCTACTTGTGCTGGCTTCAAACCACGATCCTCAGATCTCAGCCTCCAGAGTAGGATTACAAGCATGAGCCATCAGAGCATTTTTATAGTGAAGTGTAGTAACAATATATGATTAGCAATGAAAATTGAAATGGGATTTTGTTATACTCCAAAATAAATTGGTGTTTGTTCTATACTCAGATTACACAGTGAAGAAATACGCTTCAGTGTTCATTTAGTGGTGGTTTTGCTTTATAGTACACAACTGATAAAATCTCTTGATGCTTATGTATGAAGAATAGGCAAACAATTTAAGATGCTGTTCAGAGTTACAAAGCGATATGATAAGGAGGCTGAGATTCATATCACTGATGATTTAGGATGGATTCCATGTTGAGGTGCTGAATGGAATCTAATGATGTTCACTCAAGGCTTCAGCAGTTACAGTTTCATCATTTGTAGGTAAAAGACTGTGCAATGCCAAACATGATTGTTTTTAAAGATGCCTACCTAGCTGTCCACTAATGCACACTTCCAGTGCTAGCACCTCACCTTCAACTACAGGCCATTCATAATTCAATTTAGATACTCTCTCCCTTCCCAGGAAGGCTTCTGTCTGGAGAAAGCCCCATCTTCTGTGCTTCCAAAGTACCCCCAAATTACCTCAGTTACAGCTGTTTTTATGCCATAGCCTAACTACCTGAATTTCTGTCTTTGCTAGAATGGCTCATTTGCAGAGGGCTACTTCTTGTTTATTGTATTATGTTTGGTATCTGGCACAGGTGCTCAACAAAAGTTTTTTTGAAGAGAAGAGGGGAGAAAAGGATAGAGGAAATGGCCCTAACTTCTTGAATCTCAATGGCCATACCCCCCTATCCAGTAAAGGTAATACTGAGTACTCAGTGATAAACCTGGCTGTTTACTTTTACTCTGACTGTCCTTGTCACCTTTTTTTAAAAACAAAAATTCTGAAACCTGTAATTATTTAGTCTTTTTCTCCACATGTGGTACCTGGACATCTGTGTGAATATGAGGATACCTTGGCAAGTGTCTACTGTATCTCTTGTTCTAAGCTTTCATCTTAAAAACATTTAATTAAAAAGCAGATGTTATTTATTGGATTTCATTGGAGCATACTGGACTTGAGGAAGAGGATAAACAAAATAAATAAACAAAATGCCCATGTGCTTGAATGTGCTTGAAAAAACAATGCTCACACCTGTAATCCTAGCTACTCAGATGGCTGGAATCTGAGGATCATGGTTTGAAGCTGTGGGCAGAAAAATGAGACTCTTATCTCCAGTTAACTGCTCAAAAACTGGAAATAGCATTGTGGCTCAAGTGGTAGTGCTAACCTTGAGTACAAAGAGGCTCAGGGACAATGCCAAAAGC